GATTCCACATCATATCCCTTCCCAGGGATCGGCGGACCAAATTGAGGAGGCCTGTCTGGAAATGCATCAGCTGGGACAAACGGCAACAGCTTGGATGCATGAAAGGCAGGGTAGGTTTGTAGATGCAGGGGAACGTCCACATGGTATGATGGCCCGAAAGGGCCAGCTTCCACTGTATCCAAAACCTGCCATGGACCCATATAGCGTGGCAACAACCTAGGTGAGATGTCCTCCTCCCGTGACAGCTCAGAACTGAGTACCCAACCCAGTCACCAGTGTGAATGGGGGATGGACGACGATGCTTGTTAGCCTGCTGGATCATAGCCTTTTGGGCTTTGAGCAGGTTGAGCTCGTTCAATATCCCTCTCGTACTGTCTGGTGAATGCTGCAGTCCCAGGCGTCAGTCAGGGAACGTAACTCTGGGGCCATTAGGAAACAGGGTCCACCGTCCCATGATCTGTCCTTTTAACCCTTACCAATTCCAACTAGCTGTTGTCTCCAAATAAACCCGAAGAAGATTAATAAAGGGGAGGAACTGACATTGATCTCCGTCGAAATCTAGCCGCCAACCCAACAATCCACCCGGGCCCACCACCTTCAGAGTCAAAAAAATGACTCCAATCCTATCAGACGTCCCGTCTCCTTGACAACGGCTACTGTAACCCCCTAATATGCGTTTTGTACATGAATGTAATAAGTCAAACTCTCATTGTTCCTCTGAGTCTGACCTGACAACGGGGTGGGGCTATGTAGCTCTGGTCTGCAGGGGAATACTGATGGAATTCATATGGAAAGCAAGAAATAACGCGTGTTTTAAACAAGAAGCAATGACATGTCCAGAGTTGATAGCATTGGCCAAAAGCTTGATTAGGCTCGCTATTAGCCTATTAGAGCTGATTGGCAGCATTCTAAGGACCACCCAAGAAAAGAACGAGTATGGTTTGGTCAGACCTGGGAACAAAATGGCGCATTAGCTTCTATATCGGCGGACTCCCAAACTACAGTTTTGTGGATGGCTTCACCCTGGGTAAGAATTTAAGGAAACTAAGGCCGTGATAGGCCGGAAGTGCGTGCTTTGGGCAAGTAGATTATGTTTTGAGTGGGTAGATTATTTTGATCTTCTTTTCGTGATAGAGGGTGTAGGACTTTTTGTTACCTAGTGTTTCCTCTGTCGTAGAGTTGTAGATTGGCCTTTTTAGGTAGGTTAAAGAGTATTGTGGGCTTAAGGATAGTTGCTTTTGGGCTGTTCTGCAAGGCTTTCACTAAGGGCTGCAGAATTTAAGCTAATCCGGCTGATGCTGCCGGGATAACTCC